TACTTACTTTACTTACTTTACTTACTTTACTTACTTTACTTACTTTACTTACTTTACTTACTTTACTTACTTTACTTACTTTACTTACTTTACTTACTTTACTTACTTTACTTACTTTACTTACTTTACTTACTTTACTTACTTTACTTACTTTACTTACTTTACTTACTTTACTTACTTTACTTACTTTACTTACTTTACTTACTTTACTTACTTTACTTACTTTACTTACTTTACTTACTTTACTTACTTTACTTACTTTACTTACTTTACTTACTTTACTTACTTTACTTACTTTACTTACTTTACTTACTTTACTTACTTTACTTACTTTACTTACTTTACTTACTTTACTTACTTTACTTACTTTACTTACTTTACTTACTTTACTTACTTTACTTACTTTACTTACTTTACTTACTTTACTTACTTTACTTACTTTACTTACTTTACTTACTTTACTTACTTTACTTACTTTACTTACTTTACTTACTTTACTTACTTTACTTACTTTACTTACTTTACTTACTTTACTTACTTTACTTACTTTACTTACTTTACTTTACTTTACTTTACTTTACTTTACTTTACTTTACTTTACTTTACTTTACTTTACTTTACTTACTTACTTTACTTACTTTACTTACTTTACTTACTTTACTTACTTTACTTACTTTACTTACTTTACTTACTTTACTTACTTTACTTACTTTACTTACTTTACTTACTTTACTTACTTTACTTACTTTACTTACTTTACTTACTTTACTTACTTTACTTACTTTACTTACTTTACTTACTTTACTTACTTTACTTACTTTACTTACTTTACTTACTTTACTTACTTTACTTACTTTACTTACTTTACTTACTTTACTTACTTTACTTACTTTACTTACTTTACTTACTTTACTTACTTTACTTACTTTACTTACTTTACTTACTTTACTTACTTTACTTACTTTACTTACTTTACTTACTTTACTTACTTTACTTACTTTACTTACTTTACTTACTTTACTTACTTTACTTACTTTACTTACTTTACTTACTTTACTTACTTTACTTACTTTACTTACTTTACTTACTTTACTTACTTTACTTACTTTACTTACTTTACTTACTTTACTTACTTTACTTACTTTACTTACTTTACTTACTTTACTTACTTTACTTACTTTACTTACTTTACTTACTTTACTTACTTTACTTACTTTACTTACTTTACTTACTTTACTTACTTTACTTACTTTACTTACTTTACTTACTTTACTTACTTTACTTACTTTTTTTACTTACTTTACTTACTTTACTTACTTTACTTACTTTACTTACTTTACTTACTTTACTTACTTTACTTACTTTACTTACTTTACTTACTTTACTTACTTTACTTACTTTACTTACTTTACTTTTACTTTACTTACTTTACTTACTTTACTTACTTTACTTACTTTTTACTTTACTTACTTTACTTTACTTTACTTACTTTTACTTACTTTACTTACTTTTTACTTACTTTACTTACTTTACTTACTTTACTTACTTTACTTACTTTACTTACTTTACTTACTTTACTTACTTTACTTACTTTACTTACTTTACTTACTTTACTTACTTTACTTTACTTTTACTTACTTTACTTACTTTACTTACTTTACTTACTTTACTTACTTTACTTACTTTACTTACTTTACTTACTTTACTTACTTTACTTACTTTACTTACTTTACTTACTTTACTTACTTTACTTACTTTACTTTACTTACTTTACTTACTTTACTTACTTTACTTTACTTACTTTACTTACTTTACTTACTTTACTTACTTTACTTACTTTACTTACTTTACTTACTTTACTTACTTTTTACTCTACTTTACTTACTTTACTTACTTTACTTACTTTACTTACTTTACTTACTTTACTTACTTTACTTACTTTTACTTACTTTTACTTACTTTACTTACTTTACTTACTTTACTTACTTTACTTACTTTACTTACTTTTACTTACTTTACTTACTTTACTTACTTTACTTACTTTACTTACTTTACTTACTTTACTTACTTTACTTACTTTACTTACTTTACTTACTTTTTACTTACTTTACTTACTTTACTTACTTTTTACCTTTACTTTACTTACTTTACTTACTTTACTTACTTTACTTACTTTACTTACTTTACTTACTTTACTTACTTTACTTACTTTACTTACTTTACTTACTTTACTTACTTTACTTACTTTACTTACTTTACTTACTTTACTTACTTTACTTACTTTACTTACTTTACTTACTTTACTTACTTTACTTACTTTACTTACTTTACTTACTTTACTTACTTTACTTACTTTACTTACTTTACTTACTTTACTTACTTTACTTACTTTACTTACTTTACTTACTTTACTTACTTTACTTACTTTACTTACTTTACTTACGACTTGCTATAAAATCATGCTGAATGTTGTTTATGTATTTTTATACCCTTGCAGAGGGTATTATAAGTTTAGTCAGAAGTTTGCAACTCAGTAAAGGAGACATCTCCGACTCTATAAAGTATATATATTCTTGATCAGCATCACTAGGAGAGTCGATCTAGCCATGTCCGTCTGTCCGATTCTACGCAAACTAGTGCCTCAGTTTTAAAGCTATCTGCATGAAACTTTCCCAAAAGTTGTATTTCTATTGCAGGTGGTATATAAGTCGTAACGAGCCGGATCGGACGACAATAGCATATAGCTCCCATAGGAAAAATAGAAAAAAAAAAAAAAATAAAAAAAATATAGCTTAGCTGTTTATACCCTTGCAGAGGATATTATATACTTTATACCCTTGCAGAGGGTATTATAATTTCAGTCAGAAGTATGCAACGCAGTGAAGGAGACATCTCCGACCCTATAAAGTATATATATTCTTGATCTGCATCACTAGGAGAGTCGATCTAGCCATGTCCGTCTGTCCGTCCGTTTCTACGCAAACTAGTCTCTCAGCCTTAAAGATATCTGCATGAAACTTTTCCAAAAGTAGTCTTTCTATTGCAGGTAGTATATAAGTCGAAACGAGCCGGATCGGACGGTTATAGCATATATATATATATATATAAATAAATATATAAATGTTGCTATTTTTTCATCTTTTTTTAGTTCTTCGACTTATAGCAATGGTTAAATAGTTCAGAATTATGGTATAGCTCCCATGGGAACAATCAAAATATTAAAAAAAAGATGTATTTCTAATTTGACTATTTATTTTGTAATTTTTTTTTTAGAAATTCTTTTTGATTAATTAATAATTTAACAGTTCAAAATTACGCTTTTAATTTTATTAAAATCGGAAAACGATATCATGTAACTGTCATAGGAACTATCAAATACACAGCTTCAAGTGCAAGGGTATATAAACTTCGGCCAAAGTTTACATCCTTTCATGTTTTTAGAATAGTTTATAAATATAACTAATTTTTGCTTTGTGCTAACGCAAAAGAACTGATTCCCAATTAACAGAGGAAATATCACTTCCGATAGAACAAAGGCAGTTTTCACTAAAAATTAATTTTTTCGCGGATGGCCCAAAACTATAAAAGTCTAAAGACATTAGCAACGACCTATGATGAATATCCCAGTTGTTAATAGATAAATTACATTCAATTAAGGAAAAAATTTATATATATTTATGTTATGTATAGTATTGACTCCTAAATAGATCATCGATAAAAAGTATCTTATTTGGTTATTGTTAGTTACTTGGCAATAAGGAATGAGCGTCAGGATGCCTAGCCCAAACAAGAGAGGCCAGGTTAAAGTCACCAATAACGTTGAGTTGCTTTTAAGCCACATTCTCCAGATGGGCCTTGTAAAGGTACTAATAGGCGGTTTATAAGACACCACAATTAGCAGCGTATCCGCTAGTCCAGTAACCGAAACAGAAACTTGATTAGGAAGGGTATCTTCATTGAGAAGGCGGATTGACAAACACCTAAAACGTCGGCGAACAGGAACAATTAAAACTCCTTCTCTAGCGCAACGTTTTTTTGTGGGATGGTTACGAACAACTTGATACATGTTGAAGTCGAAGTACTCATTTTGAGCCAGGTTTCACCTATAACTATAACATGAAAGTAGCATTGAGATGGGGCAATGCATACTTGTCCCGTTTTTGTCCGCATTCCAGAGATATTTTGAAAACATATATGAAGTTGGGATGTGCTTCATATAATATCGCCACCAGCTGATTCGTTTTCAAGCTTTGGTATGTATTTAAATGCATGCAAAATAACAGCACAAACCGTTCTGAATGCTTTAGTCCCGCAGATCGTCTTTAGTAGCTTCGTGACTTTGATCCATTGTGTATCATCAGAATGGGGCACGCTGCATTCGCCAAATACATCAGATTCTTTTAACAAAGAGAAGTCAGAAGTTAGGAGCAATTGCTGATAAAAAAGGAGTATGATCAGTGTACAAAGTCAAAATTGTTTTCTCAGCAAGTTGTCTATTCCTGTAAACGAATCTGCTGACTTTGACTGCATCTTGCCAGAATTCATCGCAAAACACAGATAGCGTTGCTCAGGCACTCCTAGTTTAAAATTTAAGAACATCAAAGTTTACATTTCGCACAATGCCTCTGGTTTGGTGTTTACTGCAAGTATGCCACTATGCAAGCATTTGTGGCTTGGTAGAACTTCAAATTGATCACAACTGGGGGCCAAACCAACGATGTACCTCTTGTTCCTATCATTTTTTCTGTGATTCCTGGTGAGAGCAGCTGCTTGAGCGGTGGGTAACGGAACAGCTTGGTTTGCAGGCTTTACTAATTTTTTGCCCTGACTGATGTCTGATCCGTGTGTATTAGCTTCCATTACAACGATCGTAAAACTCCTTGACATGGCTTCATTGTTGTTATTTGCTAATTATGTGGGAGCAAAAATGAAAACGTTTATTTTACAAACTTATCAAAATCTATCATATGTTTTATTAAATCTGTATTGTATTTTTTTAGATTGTTGCGAGAAGAGGAGTCGCTTGATAATATCAAGCAGTTTTATGTAAAATGTAAAAACGAGGAAGGGAAATATAACGCTATTCAAAATATCTACGGTTGCATAAGCATTGGCCAAGCTATTATATTTTGTCATGTAAGTATAAAGCTACGTATTTAAAAATCGACACATACTGATTATATCCAGCTTTTCTGTTCTAATATCTATAGAAAAATTATTTATAATATTTGTAATAATCATCTGGTTTGAAATACATTTATTTTTAATTTTTGAAGCACTATTATTTAATATTAGTATGTTAATATTAATATAAAAAAAACATTAATAAAAATATATATAAATTAAATTAAATAAAATTTGAAGTAACTTTTATTTTGAAAGCAAAATTTTTTTTTTATTTAGGATTTGTTCTATGGGACAATCACTAAATTTTATAAATCAAAATTAGTATATTAACAATATTCATAATGCTTCATAAGTTATTAATTATTATTATTAATTATTAAAATTATTAATTTTAATTCGAGACAAAAATTGCAAAATAATAATTTGTTTAAGCAATATACATTTTATTTTGGGAGCAATATGAACATGACACAGAATGAAGTGAGTCACGGAGCAGATAAAAAGATGACTGTCAAATACCGTGTTTTTCTATAGCTTGTCCAAAAAAAACAATGGAAGAATCTGGGACTTATACTGAATTCCGATTCGTTGTTATCTTCCCAATCTGTATACACTTAATTTTATGTTTATCATAAAATTTTGCGCGCTGGCATGCATGGCTTTCCAATTTCTACTTTTCTCACTCTTGAGTTGACAATCGCTCTAACTCTGTTGCTTGCTTGGATATCGGTCTACTGGTAAACTTCTATAAACTAATTTTATAGTTCTTCTGTATGTACGGAGGTTTGATAACAACATTAAACTGTCATTTGTGTGCCTGTTTGACCTTAATAGTGTTTTTACTTTAGGTTCGACAATAATACTTGATCTAAAAAATCCGTTTCGATTATTAAATCTGTGTAAGGAAATTTGGCATAAATTTCCTTCAAGAAACGAATGGCACGAATAGTAAAATTCACAGCGCCTGTACAATGCTGAGCCTTACCCGATTGGATTCCTTAGAGCGTGTGCAAATCTCTCAAGCAATTGGGACACAGCTTATAGTTGATAGCTAACTCCTTTTGGTTTATTGAATTATTGAAGTCTGACTGTTAGCGTGAAGGCTGCTGGGTAATCTTGTGTTGAGCCAATAATCATTGACTGGTCTCTTATTTCCAAGACGGCCGCATCTGTATACGTTTACGGTGCTTGACAGAGATCGTTTATCTTTTCCCTATTTCTTGTGCAACGGTGTACAACCACATTACTCGGTGCGCAAATACGATTCGTTGGTTGTTGGACCGTTTGAGCTAGCATGCGTTCTGGAAATTGGCGTTTGTCAGCGGGATCTGTTATATACCACAATTCTTAACTGCGGAATCCTTTGAAATGCGGAAAGATGAATTATGCAAATACGTTGTAGTATCCAGACCAAAATTTTAGCAATGTTATTTTTGACAGATCGGTGGAGTCTTTATTGAAAATATTTCTCCGTATTCTGAAAGATTGTGTCCTTCTGTGTTTTCACTTGAACTTGGGTCTTAGAGACTTATGCCGCAGGTCCTTTTACAGCCATCCAGGCTGATTTTTTTTTTTCAAAGAATTGAGTTCTATTGCGCGATTTTAGTTCCGTTCTAAATACATTAATGGGAGTGTTTATTTTCAAGTACTACTATCAAAACATCGGCCCACTTGGAAGATATTTCAAAGGTTCAATTTATGAACCGTTTTGGATTTTTAATTTCACAACAACATTGAAGAAAATTGAGACGAAAAATTGTCAATATTTAAATTACCGCTATTATTAAATGTGTATCTTAAATCTAAACTTCATGAATTTACATTCTGCGCTTCCACATTCCGGCCACCTTGAAGGACCTGCCTTCAATATACTGGAAGTACAGCATGCTTTTGAATTGGACGCTGTTGCGGTCTTGATTTCGGCCACTCGACTTTTGACAGCGGCCCCTGCCACTACGCTGACGACCCTGCTGGGGTGGACTGTTGTCCTCGTGGATGATAACCAAGGCTCCGACCTCCAGTATGTGCTGTGAACGTATTCCTTTGACCATGCCGCCCAGAAGCGCTATCTGAGCGTGGATAGCAGTTGCCACCTATTGAAGAAGCTCAAAGATCTTGCGTCTGCCTCTAATCCTTGCGGCAGCGAACAAAGGGCCTGATTAGCAGGTGCCCTATAGTGAACACCACTCCCACGTCAGAGGCCAAGGATTCAGCACGGCCTCGGTGTCTGCCAGATACTTCCTGCCCTCGGCTGTACACCACGTCTTGCGATGAAGCTTTTAGAGGCCAAAAAAGATTTACTCGAACAAGCTTTGGAAGAAAAATAGACAAATACAGGAATATACATCTTAATGCGGGACCGTGCTCGAATACAGAACGAGACTTTTATAGGACTTAACAAATTTACGCCACGAATATGAAATTGCCTTATGGATTCGAACCTATCGTCAAGCAGATTCCCCATTATTTGGATCACCAGAACAGGTTTATATCTAAAACAATGGATATACCTTCTCACCACCCGAGTGCATTCTCTGCGCGCATTTATTAACCAGATTTACTGCCGATGAAGACCTATCATTGTTTTTGCGTTTGCGTGACAATTTCTAAAATGCAAATTTCGGAGATACAAATCAACAATTTGGGTTTTACAAGGGAGTAATATTGGAAATTAAGCATTTTCTTAAATAGATGCATTCGGAAGTCTGCTTCTACCCGAAAAGGCGATAATCTTCTACCAGCTTTAGAACACTTATTTCGCCAACAGAACAATCTTTAACTGGCTACTCATTTAAGACTTAACTAGGACTTAACATCAACAACATCATTAATAGTAGAAAAATAATAGAAAAATGCAATCCTAACGGAATCTCGGGGAGCTCGGATCCAGGCGCATGTGAGGTAATACTCACACTCGTTGCGACCACCAAAAAAACGCGTTTCGAGATAAACGCGTTTAAAGTTTGAGTACGGGAAACACATGCCTTAGTCGAAAGAAAATCATCGTACCTCTAATCAGCAATGCCTGCTCCATACAATACAAAATTTTCACTTCTCTCTTCGCGACAAGTTTTTTTCGAAATTAAAATGCAGGGACGACGAATGTCAAAGTTATGAAACTGAGAAAACGCTATGACAAGGCGGCCGACTCAACGCGCCAATTGTGCGATTCGAGCGCTCGCGGCCTTGCGGCGAAATTCATTTTTCGGCCACTTCTGTTACCGTCTGCGGTTAAAAAGGGTTTCTAACTTACTTCTAAGGGCATATAGTGACTGAAAATGAAAAAAAAAGAAATCGATTTTTTGAAAATTCTAAACCTGAAAACTTAAGAAAACTAAGCATAATAAATTCAAACGGAGTTGATAGCTCGACGGCTATACACGTTTGAGCGGCTCTTTTCAACTCTGAGTTTTTTAATCCGGAACTTTTCATATACAAATTTCGGGCCTTCGAACCAATGGGCTCAATAAGTTCACTTACATCGCAGCCACTGGACGCAATGTATGGTGGATTAAACTGTCGCCATTATATATTTTCTGATAGCTCTTGAATTGTGGCTACCTGATTTGAAACAAACACTGCAACTGACGAAGGAAGAGACTTTATCCAATGTAGCGTAATTTCTGAGTCTGTCAAAAATAAACGCTCTCGATTTTACATTTGTTAAAATCTTGTTTGATGAAGGATCAAAATTGTGCCAAAAAAGTGCGGCGCATAGTTCAAGTCATGGTATGTTTTTTGTTTTTAGTGGACCTGACCGTTTTCGGTCGCTTGAAAATAGAGGCAGTTTCAGTAAGTTTGGCTGGATGCATCCGCAAATCCGTGAACTTTGAACGGCTCAGCACCCACTGGCTAACATGTACCTAGAATGGTGACTGTGTGAAAATTAAGTAGATTCTTCTTAAGCCTTTCCCAACTCGGATGTAACGACATCGAAATCGATTCTTCCCATTCAAGTTGACGTTTCCAATGTTATGAAGAATAATCTTCGACGTTAGGCCACTAGGACGGCAATCCCAAGGGATCAAAAAGACGCGCGCTAACTTAAAGAATTGTGCGTTTTGTAAGAGTCAACTCGGTAAAACTCTCATCTGAATGAAATTGAAATGTGACTGTGTATGACATCCACAGCATACCCAAGGCTTTGGTCAAAAATTAGAGATTTTTCAGTGTTGTTATGGATGGTTTGAAAACCAATTAGACAGCTGGAAACTGCCACTATTAAGAATTTCAGACACTTGATTACACATCACGTTCAAGGTGTCAATATCATGTCGTCCACATATAAATCGTTGCAAATTATGTACGAACTAATTTCATATTTTTCCATGTAACGAACACCAAGATCTTGTAAGCGACGAATAGCTAAAAGTGATTGGTGGGGCCCACTATTCAGAGGGAACTGTTATTATCTTTAGTTCAATTTTGTTTAAATAGATTCGCCTTAAGGGCAGATATAACAAAAATATATAGGCAAGTAAGTCTAGCAGAAGAGGATCGTAACTATCAACTTATAGTATCTGATAAGCTACACATTTTTCGCCTAAATACAAAAAAATTTCTATTTTCTGGGACGGTATCTTACTCCCAAAGCCATTTAACCAGTCCTACTAATCTCATATGTTCCTTTGACAAGGCGATTCATCAAGTAGCTTCTTTTGTTGTTGCTTACACCGTCCAGAAATAACCCATCCCAAGAGCGTTTTTTGTAGCAAAGGACCTTCATTGACCACTACACAACAAATCTTGTGGAATTCTGTCTTCCACAATTCTGACGTAAGAATATGTCCATTGGGCCGCGCTTCTGGTAATTGAACTTGTTTCTCCTACTGATGTGATAGTAAGGCACTTATTTGTTTTTGTCATTCTTAATAACTGAGCAAGGCTTTCTGTCATAAAGTTAACTTGCGACACCGAATCTAATAAAGCCCTGGCCCGATGGAGTTGACCAAATCGATCGCATACATTTACAACGCCTGTTGCTGGAATTACTTACTTAATTAGAAGCC